TGTAGGAGTGTCTGTGTGTATAGAGAGTGTCTGTGTGTATAGAGAGTGTGTGTGTGTAGAGAGTGTCTGTGTGTAGAGAGTGTCTGTGCGTGTAGAGAATGTCTGTGTGTGTAGAGAGTGTCTGTGTGTATAGAGAGTGTCTGTGTGTATAGAGAGTGTCTGTGTGTAGAGAGTGTCTGTGTGTATAGAGAGTGTCTGTGTGTATAGAGAATGTCTGTGTGTGTAGAGAGTGTCTGTGTGTGTAGAGAATGTCTGTGTGTAGAGAATGTCTGTGTGTAGAGAATGTCTGTGTATGTAGAGATTATCTGTGTGTAGAGAGTGTCTGTGTGTAGAGAGTGTCTGTGTGTGTAGAGAGTATCTGTGTGTATAGAGAGTGTCTGTGTGTATAGAGAGTGTCTGTGTGTATAGAGAGTGTGTGTGTAGAGAGTGTCTGTGTGTATAGAGAGTGTCTGTGTGTATAGAGAGTGTCTATGTATAGAGAGTGTCTGTGTGTGTAGAGAGTGTCTGTGTATGTAGAGAGTGTCTGTGTGTATAGAGAGTGTCTGTGTGTGTAGAGAGTGTCTGTGTGTGTATAGAGAGTGTCTGTGTGTATAGAGAATGTCTGTGTGTGTAGAGAGTGTCTGTGTGTGTAGAGAGTGGCTGTGTGTGTGTAGAGAGTGTCTGTGTGTGTAGAGAGTGTCTGTGTATAGAGAGTGTCTGTGTGTGTAGAGAGTGTCTGTGTATAGAGAGTGTCTGTGTGTATAGAGAGTGTCTGTGTGTATAGAGAGTGTCTTGTGTGTGTAGAGAGTGTCTGTGTATAGAGAGTGTCTGTGTGTATAGAGAGTATCTGTGTGTATAGAGAGTGTCTGTGTGTATAGAGAGTGTCTGTGTGTATAGAGAGTGTCTGTGTGTATAGAGAGTGTCTGTGTGTATAGAGAGTATCTGTATGTATAGAGAGTGTCTGTGTGTATAGAGAGTGTCTGTGTGTATAGAGAGTGTCTGTGTGTATAGAGAGTGTCTGTGTGTGTAGAGAGTGTCTGTGTGTATAGAGAGTGTCTGTGTGTGTAGAGAGTATCTGTGCGTGTAGAGAGTGTCTGTGTGTATAGAGAGTGTCTGTGTGTGTAGAGAGTGTCTGTGTGTGTATAGAGAGTGTCTGTGTGTATAGAGAGTGTCTGTGTGTATAGAGAGTGTCTGTGTGTGTAGAGAGTGTCTGTGTGTATAGAGAGTGTCTGTGTGTATAGAGAGTGTATGTGTGTGTAGAGAGTGTCTGTGTGTGTATAGAGAGTGTCTGTGTGTGTAGAGAGTGTTTGTGTGTGTAGAGAGTGTCTGTGTGTATAGAGAATGTCTGTGTGTGTAGAGAGTGTCTGTGTGTATACAGAGTGTCTGTGTGTATAGAGAGTGTCTGTGTGTATAGAGAGTGTCTGTGTGTATAGAGAGTGTCTGTGTGTAGAGAGTGTCTGTGTGTATAGAGAGTGTCTGTGTGTAGAGAATGTCTGTGTGTGTAGAGAGTGTATGTGTGTATAGAGAATGTCTGTGTGTATAGAGAATGTCTGTGTGTAGAGAATGTCTGTGTGTATAGAGAGTGTCTGTGTGTATAGAGAGTGTCTGTGTGTATAGAGAGAATCTCTGTGTCTAGAGAGTGTCTGTGTGTGTATAGAGAGTGTCTGTGTGTAGAGAATGTCTGTGTATGTAGAGAGTGTCTGTGTGTGTAGAGAGTGTCCGTGTGTATACAGAGTGTGTGTGTAGAGAGTGTCTGTGTGTATAGAGAGTATATGTGTGTAGAGAGTGTCTGTGTATGTAGAGAGTGTCTGTGTGTAGAGAGTGTATGTGTGTATAGAGAGTGTCTGTGTGTATAGAGAGTGTCTGTGTGTGTAGAGAGTGTGTGTATAGAGAGTGTCTGTGTGTATAGAGAGTGTCTGTGTGTGTAGAGAGTGTCTGTGTGTATAGAGAATGTCTGTGTATGTAGAGAGTGTCTGTGTGTGTAGAGAGTGTCTGTGTGTGTAGAGAATGTCTGTGTATGTAGAGAGTATCTGTGTGTAGAGAGTGTATGTGTGTGTAGAGAGTGTCTGTGTGTATAGAGAGTGTCTGTGTGTATAGAGAGTGTGTGTATAGAGAGTGTCTGTGTATAGAGAGTGTCTGTGTGTATAGAGAGTATCTGTGCGTGTAGAGAGTGTCTGTGTGTATAGAGAGTGTCTGTGTGTGTATAAAGAGTGTCTGTGTGTGTAGAGAGTGTCTGTGTGTGTATAGAGAGTGTCTGTGTGTGTATAGAGTGTCTGTGTGTGTATAAAATGTCTGTGTATGTAGAGAGTGTCTGTGTGTGTAGAGAGTGTCTGTGTGTGTATAGAGAGTGTCTGTGTGTAGAGAATGTCTGTGTGTGTAGAGAGTGTCTGTGTGTATAGAGAATGTCTGTGTGTATAGAGAATGTCTGTGTGTAGAGAATGTCTGTGTATGTAGAGAGTGTCTGTGTGTAGAGAGTGTCTGTGTGTATAGAGCGTGTCTGTGTGTAGAGAGTGTCTGTGGGTATAGAGAGTGTCTGTGTGTATAGAGAGTGTCTGTGTGTATAGAGAGTATCTGTGCGTGTAGAGAGTCTCTGTGTGTAGAGAGTGTCTGTGTGTGTATAGAGAGTGTCTGTGTGTGTATAGAGAGTGTCTGTGTGTGTAGAGAATGTCTGTGTATATAGAGAGTATCTCTGTGTGTAGAGAGTGTCTGTGTGTGTATAGAGAGTGTCTGTGTGTATAGAGAATGTCTGTGTGTGTAGAGAGTGTCTGTGTGTGTAGAGAGTGGCTGTGTGTATAGAGAGTGTCTGTGTGTATAGAGAATGTCTGTGTGTGTAGAGAGTGTTTGTGTGTGTAGAGAGTGTCTGTGTGTATAGAGAATGTCTGTGTATAGAGAATGTCTGTGTGTGTAGAGAGTGTCTATATGAGAATGTCTGTCTGTGTGTGTAGAGAATGTCTGTGTGTGTAGAGAGTGTCTGTGTGTGTATAGAGAGTGTCTGTGTGTAGAGAGTGTCTGTGTGTATAGAGAGTGTCTGTGTGTATAGAGAGTGTCTGTGTGTATAGAGTGTCTGTGCGTGTAGAGAGTGTCTGTGTGTATAGAGAGTGTATGTGTGTATAGAGAGTGCCTGTGTGTATAGAGAGTGTCTGTGTGTATAGAGAGTGTCTGTGTGTATAGAGAATGTCTGTGTGTAGAGAATGTCTGTGTGTGTAGAGAGTGTCTGTGTGTATGAGAATGTCTGTCTGTGTGTAGAGAATGTATGTGTGTGTAGAGAGTGTCTGTGTGTGTATAGAGAGTGTCTGTGTGTATAGAGAGTGTCTGTGTGTAGAGAGTGTCTGTGTGTATAGAGAGTGTCTGTGTGTATAGAGCGTGCCTGTGTGTATAGAGAGTGTCTGTGTGTATAGAGAGTGTCTGTGTGTGTAGAGAGTAACTGTGTGTGTAGAGAGTGTCTGTGTGTATAGAAAGTGTCTGTGTGTATAGAGAGTATCTGTGTGTGTAGAGAGTGTATGTGTGTATAGAGAGTGTCTGTGTGTATAGAGAGTGTCTGTGTGTGTAGAGAATGTCTGTGTGTAGCGAGTGTGTCTGTGTGTAGAGACACTGTCTGTGTGTAGAGAGTATCTGTGTGTGTAGAGAGTGTATGTGTGTATAGAGAGTGTCTGTGTGTATAGAGAGTGTCTGTGTGTGTAGAGAATGTCTGTGTGTAGCGAGTGTGTCTGTGTGTAGAGACACTGTCTGTGTGTAGAGAGTATCTGTGTGTGTAGAGAGTGTCTGTGTGTAGAGAATGTCTGTGTGTGTAGAGAGTGTCTGTGTGTATAGAGAGTGTCTGTGTGTATAGAGAGTGTCTGTGTGTATAGAGAGTGTCTGTGTGTAGAGAGTGTCTGTGTGTATAGAGAGTGTCTGTGTGTATAGAGCGTGCCTGTGTGTATAGAGAGTGTCTGTGTGTATAGAGAGTGTCTGTGTGTGTAGAGAGTAACTGTGTGTGTAGAGAGTGTCTGTGTGTATAGAAAGTGTCTGTGTGTATAGAGAGTATCTGTGTGTGTAGAGAGTGTATGTGTGTATAGAGAGTGTCTGTGTGTATAGAGAGTGTCTGTGTGTGTAGAGAATGTATGTGTGTAGCGAGTGTGTCTGTGTGTAGAGACACTGTCTGTGTGTAGAGAGTATCTGTGTGTGTAGAGAGTGTATGTGTGTATAGAGAGTGTCTGTGTGTATAGAGAGTGTCTGTGTGTGTAGAGAATGTCTGTGTGTAGCGAGTGTGTCTGTGTGTAGAGACACTGTCTGTGTGTAGAGAGTATCTGTGTGTGTAGAGAGTGTCTGTGTGTAGAGAATGTCTGTGTGTGTAGAGAGTGTCTGTGTGTATAGAGAGTGTCTGTGTGTATAGAGAGTGTCTGTGTGTATAGAGAGTATCTGTGTGTGTATAGAGAGCGTCTGTGTGTATAGACAATGTCTGTGTGTATAGAGAGTATCTGTGTGTATAGAGAAAGTCTGTGTGTAGAGAGTTTCTTTGTGTGTAGAGAGTGTGTGTAGAGAATGTCTGTGTGTAGAGAGTGTATGTGTGTATAGAGTGTCTGTGTGTATAGAGTGTCTGTGTGTATAGAGAGTGTCTGTGTGTAGAGAGTGTCTGTGTGTATAGAGAGTGTCTGTGTGTGTAGAGAGTGTCTGTGTGTAGAGAGTGTCTGTGTGTATGAGAATGTCTGTGTGTATGAGAATGTCTGTCTGTGTGTGTAGAGAGTGTCTGTGTGTATGAGAATGTATGTCTGTGTGTGTAGAGAGTGTCTGTGTATAGAGTACCTGGGTGTGTAGAGAGTGGCTGTGTGTAGAGAGTGTCTGTGTGTAGAGAGTGTCTGTGTAGAGAGTGTCTGTGTAGAGAGTGTCTGTGTGTATGAGAATGTCTGTCTGTGTGTGTAGAGAATGTATGTGTGTAGAGAGTTTCTGTGTAGAGAGTGTCTGTGTATGTAGAGAGTGTCTGTGTGTATGAGAATGTCTGTCTGTGTGTGTAGAGAATGTCTGTGTGGAGCTGCGTGCGTTACCTGTCTCTGCTTCCCTCTCGCTGTGACTCGGGGTCGCCATGCCAACCCCCCCTCACCCTGCCTCGCGCCCCTCCCCCTGCGGTCCCTGGGCGGGGCCAATTCACCCTCGACGCCTCCATCTGCAGCCCACGCCCGCTGCCGCGTTACTTTATACTGTGGTAAAAATATCTCCCGTATAGCAGTTACATAACCTATATAATATATAACTTATATAATATATAACTTATTTAATGTATAACTTATACACTATGTAACTTATATAATATATAATATACAACTTATATAACTTTAATCTAGATTGAAGCTTTCGTGACTGCAGGAATCCAAACTCTTTGGTTCTTTCGGTAAAGTCACGGAGGTAGAAAAATGAAATAAAAATAAATCACGACGTTTCGATCGCAACACAAGCGATCGTCCTCAGGCGAAACAAAAATCCAGCAGTTGAACTGCTGAACAACATAGCGAGAGAGCTGCTACAACAAGGGGGTTGCTGTTCAGCAGTTCCACTGCTATATTCTTGGTTCTTTCGGTATCACGTAGAAGGGAAACAATAAAATAATAAAAATATAAAACAATAAAATTATCATGGCGTTTCGCTGCTGAACAACATAGCGAGAGAACTGCTACAACAAGGGAGTTGCTGTTCAGCAGTTCGACTGCTGTATTTTTGTTTTACCTGAGGACGATCGCTTGTGTTGCGATCGAAATGTCATGATTTATTTTTCTTTTTCTACCTACGTGACTTTACCGAAAGAACCAACGAGTATAATATATAACTTATGTAACTGCTCAACTACCCTTGGTTTGATATTCCATGAAGCGTATGGTCCACTTTAAAGGGCGCCACGTGGCTAGGAGATGTTAACTGCCTCGCCTGGTTTACAGGAGGTCGTGGGTTCGATACCCACCCTGACACCTGCTCCTGTATATTTGGAGTTTGCGTGTCTCTCTTTCTCAGTGGTCGCGTGAATTTTCTCCAGGTCCTCCGGTTTTTCCTTCCACATTTAGAATGATCATGCATTTGGAGTATTTGGCTGCTATAAATGTCCACGTGACAAGCCCACTTCGTTGTGCTATCGTTTTTGGTCAGGTCACTTCTGGGAAAGAGTTGTATAGCTAAGTGGGCCTTACCATGTAAAATTTAAATAGTTTAATAGTTTGAAATCGCATCCGTACAAACCATGGTACATTGTGGATACCTGATGCACAGATGGAAAATACTAAACACTCTCCAGTAGTGTGCGACTGTGGTCATCAAGAACAGACCAACGTATAACGATGCAATGCCACGATCCGTAAATACGAAGGAGACATCACGGCGATACACTTCGCTACTCCTGACGCGGTTATCTGGCATGACCACCTGAATGTGAAATCGTAGTTGTTGCTCTGTATCTACATCAGCTGTACGAAAGAAGAAGACCGCTCAACCCGAGCTTTTAATTTGATACTTGCATTGTTTTTGTGTTTGTCTTTTGGCGTTCTCTGGTCTAATACCGTTGGTGAGATAAGGAAGGCTGTCTCTGGTGTAGGCCAATGTGTTTCAAAGACAATGCATACATTAATATCAGTGCATGTTGGTTTGCATGTTTTTGCACAAGTACGTGTGGTTATATATTCTTGGTTCTTTCGGTAAAGTCACGTAGAAGAAAGAACCAAGAATATGAATCCCTGCAGTCACGAAAGCTTTAAATCAAAATTTTACGTGTGGTTAGTGCAGACTTGATGCCTTGCAATGAGTGTCTGTTTTGTGTTTGCACATCTAAACACCTCCTGATTTATTGCCGGAAAGGGTAAAACCTATTATTCGTTATACATATATAGTTGCCATCATTATTATCACACCCGCAGTATTAATCAGTGCGGACGCTGGAATCACGAAGAGCGAACCTCAACAAGAAGTGGCAACCGCTCGACTCAGTGCTTCGCAACCGGTGTGCCGCGGCACACAGAGGTGAGCACACCGGTGATCCGCTGGTGAGCCCCAGGTGAAGGAAGCGCCTCAACCCCCCAGCCCACCTCCTGCCCTCGCCCCTCTCCCCATCGGTCGCTCTCGCGCAGGTCGACAGCAGACACCATCAGCCACCAGCCCCGGCCCTCCCAACTCCCTTGGTCGCACATGCGCAGTTGGGCAAAGAGCCACGGACACACACACGCACAGAGACACAGATATATACATAAACATGGATACACAGAGATACGGATAGACACACAGATATGTAAGCACACACGACTCACAGACATACACAGATACGAATACACTCACAGAGACACAAAGACACGGAGACGCACATAGAGACACAAAGAGGAAGGGCTGTGGACTAAAGAGAAAGGCAAGTTGGTGCCTGAAAGTGGGATGGGCAGGCCATGTTGGTCGCGGGGTTGATGGCCAACGGTGAAGAACGATGATGGATATTCTTAGCTCTTTCGGTAAAGTCACGTTGAAGGGAAACAATAAAATAATAAAATATATATAAAACAATAAACATTCTCACGACGTTTCGACCATAACACAGACGGTCATCATCAGGTGTGAAAACCAACGGCAAGAAACATTTGAAAGAAGTGGCGGTTAGCATTTATTTATTTAAAAAAACGTTAGCACCACGGGCAGCGATTTGACTGTTTAGGAGGACGAGTCCATCTATGTTCTGAAAAGAGGAGGGGGGAGACGAAAAATGTATGTATGCTGTCTGAAAGCCATCGGATTCCCACCATCCATCACAGAAGAATTCTCTCATCAAGACTCTGTACCATAGAGCCCAATGCATATCCAACCAGGAACACATAGGCTGTGAACTCAAGCACGTACTCCAAGCTCTTAAGGCTAATGGTTACTCCGACTATACAATCCGCAAAGCTATCACTCAAACCATGAAGAAGGACCCTCTTGAGGAGCTTTTCAAAACCATCACTTTACCCTACATTGCGGGATCACAAAAAAGATCTCCAAAATCTTGAATGAACACAAGATCCAGGTCCGTTTCAACACATTACATAAAATCCGTGATCTGGTTCCGTCTGTAAAAGATGTGATTCCGGACATAGAGTACCCTGGTGTCTACAAACTAAGTTGCCTCTGTGGTAGTAGTTACATTGGAGAAACCAAATGCCATGTCTCGGACCGCATTCATGAACACAAAGCAGACCTTAAACACGGTAGGACCAACACCTCGGCCGTGGCAGATCATTGTTATAATTCAGTAGGGTCACATGACATTGACTTCTCCAAGACAGAGGTTATTTGTAAGCCATCTGGCTACCATGAGAGATTCGTTCATGAGGCTATCCACATATACAAGCACAGAGACAATTTCAACCGAGAAGATGGATTCTGGCTTAGCAATCATTGGAAGGGTTTGATTAACCATTTCAGGTCTTAATTGATTGTTCACGCTTACGGTGGCTTTCAGACAGCATACATTAATTTTTCGTCTCCCCCCTCCTCTTTTCAGAACATAGATGGACTCGTCCTTCTAAACAAACTGCCAGATCGCTGCCCGTGGTGCTAACGTTTTTTTTTAATAAATAAAAACTCCGTTTAGAACTAAATGAATGCAAACCGCCACTTCTTTCAAATGTTTCTTGCCATTGCTTTTCACACCTGATGATGACCGTTTGTGTTATGGTCGAAACGTCGTGAGAATTTTTATTGTTTTATATATATTGTTTCCCTTCAACGTGACTTTACCGAAAGAGCTAAGAATATGAATTACTGCAGTCACGAAAGCTTTAAATCAAAATTTAACGATGATGGAGTTGCAGCCGACGCATCCACGAGGATGTTCACCGAGCAATGAAGACGTGAAACCATCTCCCGTGTAGGCGGCGGGTAGATTTGTTTTACGTTACAAGATTGTAGGTGATGGTGGATTGATCAGGGCTGCCGATGACAATGCTTGTCACAGTAGGTGGCAACTGAAAAATCACGACAAACTTCTTCATGACGAGAATCAGAATCTTTATTTATCCGTGATAAATCCGATTAGCTATGAAGCTCTTGTTTACAAAGACATCCAGTCGGGGCGGGTTAGAAGTGGGCCCCGCTATCACATATGCGTGAGGCACGAGCCTCTTGCAGCTGAAAATAATACTCGTAACAACGAAGATCGTTTATAGGTTGTGATTTATTCACGTTTGAAAATGTAGTACCACACGATTTCAGTAATGTAGTGCATTCGTCAAAATCCCTGCCGAAATGTTTCCCCTCCTCCGTCTACACAAGACACATCACAAATCCGCAGCAGCAGCTTCCCATCCACTTCCCAGCCACTTATCATGGCTCACGCCACGGCGTTCTCAAACATCTGTCTCACCTCCCTTTTTTAAACAATAACACATTGATGCATCCAATAAAACATGAGAAAATTAGGCATGCGTATTTTAATGTCAACCACAGATCTGCATCCTTTCCATAGGAGCCTGCTGGACCCAACAGGTTGGATACGACGCTTCCATCTCACTTATTTTTTCCCTGACCCGGAAGCACCTGGAAGAGAGAGTTGATGCGGGAATCAAACTCAAGCAACTGCAGACGGAAGCCCTTACTGTACAGACACATCCAGCACGATAAAGCAGCAGTAAATAAGGCGGACATAACATTGTGGGCCCCAATTGTAATTGGGAAAAATAATCATTCACATCGCTATTAGAAAAACTATGGAACTATTAACCTTTTTGATTTTACCAGGTAAGACTCACTGAGCTATATAGCTGTTTTTCAGATACAACCTGGCCACAAAGAATAGCTCAACGAAGTGGCTTATCATTCTAAATGTGGAGGGAAAACCAAAGGATTGGCAAAACTCCGAATATCCAATAAGTGTCAGGGTCAGGATCGAACCCATGACCTCCTGTGTAACAGTTGTTAACATCTCGCCACTGTGGCTGCGACGCGCGTGCGATTGTCTATTTATAGTTCTCAGAATGTGCACACAAATTGGATCAAAGGAATTTAATGCAGCTGTTGCCCCAAAGTGTTTGGAACTACCCAGTGTCATCTCTTAGCATCTCCATTCTGCCATTTCTGTCTTCATTTAAACCCACTCTATTAAAGTCACTAAAGTTTAAGTGTAATTATACAATTGCTATTATCAATACCTTTGCTTGATTTTTTAAAATCTGTAATTATGGAACACTTTTATGTTGTCTGCC